CCCACCCCCCCTGCCGTATCGCCTTCTCCAGCCGGCCAGTCCCGCGGGGACAGCGAGGGGACAGGGCACCCAGCCCGGGGGTCCCCTGTCCTGGCCACATTGCTGCCTCGGTCCCAAACCAGCCTGGGGACAGCTTTGTCCCCTGAACTTCGGCTTTCCCTGTTTGCCTCCCAGCCACGGGCCAGCCTGCTCCCCACGCCGTGTCCCCACGCCGTGTCCCTTGTCCCTGTGTCACCTCGGGCTGCCTGCTCGCAGCCTCTGCGCTCAGCTTGGCCCTGGCTTGAGGGAAGAGGGGGAGTGGTCCCAGCCCCCCAAACCCCGGGGTGCCCTGCTGTGGGGGACGGGGTTGCTCCCCCCCGGCCTTGGCTGGCACAGAGGGACTCAGGGTCCCTGTCCCCACGAAACGTCACCCACGGCCCCGGGCTGGGGGGGAGAGCCACGGCACAAGGAGTGCTGGGGAGTCACGGTCCCTGGAGAAAGTCCCTTGAACCCCAAATCAGAGGCTGGGTCCCCAGCCTGGCCCCCACCTTGGGGTTGGTCCTGTAAAGCAATAATGACCGTCCCGTGCCCACGGCGCATCCCGACCCGCGGCAACAGCGTCGTCCCCCGCTGGCATTTCGGCCCCTGGAGCTGCCTGCTTGTGTGGGGTGTCCCTGTGTGTCCCCAGGATGTCCCTGTGTGTCCCCAGGATGCCCCTCTCCCTGCTGCTTCCTGGCAGAGCCTCACCATGTGACCCTGTGTGTCCCCCCAGGATGTCCCCATCCATGTCCCGTTCCCAACGAAGCAGAGCTGTGTGTCCCCATGTCTCCCCAGGATGTCCCCATCCATGTTCCTTCCCCACAGAGCACTGTGGCATGTCCCTGTGTCCCCCCAGAATGTCCCCATCCATGTTGCTTCCCTGCAGAGCACTGTGTGGTGTCCCCGTATCCCCCCCGGGATGTCCCCATCCATGTCCCGTTCCCAACGAAGCAGAGCTGTGTGTCACCATGTCTCCCCAGTATGTCTCCATCCATGTTCCTTCCCCGCAGAGCACTGTGTGGTGCCCCCATGTCCCCCCAAGGATGTCCCCATCCGTGTTCCTTCCCCGCAGAGCACTGTGTCGTGTCCCTGTGTCCCCCCAGGATGTCCCCATCCGTGTTGCTTCCCCGCAGAGCACCGCTGCGTGTCCCTGGGGTGAGCCCTGGCCGGCACCTCCCGGCCAGCAGCCGCAGGGCATCCCTGGGGAGATGGACCCGAACCCCCCCAGCTCCCTGCTCCCCCCTGGGTACGGGGAAGGACGAAAGGGGATGGTGAGGCTGCAGGGTGGAGGCAGAACTGGGAGCACTGGCCGCAGGGCATCCCTGGGGAGATGGACCCGAACCCCCCCAGCTCCCTGCTCCCCCCTGGGTACGGGGAAGGACGAAAGGGGATGGTGAGGCTGCAGGGTGGAGGCAGAACTGGGAGCATTGGGATCACTGGGAGCTCGCTGGCACGGGGACATATCCCCTCCCTG